ATCTTATTTAATATAGAATACTATCATCATCATCCCATAGAATACTATAGAACACTATAAAAATGATGTTATCCTTAAATATATAAATATGACCTTAAACAAGATGTTCTGCTGAAGTTGAGTACAATACATTTCTTTCTCTTTCTTTCTTGGCGATGACAACAGGTCAAGACACAGGTTATCAAGGCAGTGTTAACTGGTATTAGATAACCCGCAAATACATGTACATTAACGTGCAGACGAACATGAAATAAGAAATGTACTATAAATACAAGACCTGAAATAAAGATAACATATTAACTGGTTACAAGGTACAATATTATAATACATAATATAAGAAAATCAAGACATTCCTAACTAGCAGCAATATGTGCAAAGAGTGTAAATACTAAATTGGGATGAATGGAAGGCTTTGGGTAAAAGTTAAATATGAGTGCAAGTATGAGTACAGATTTCTTGCAGGTGAAGTACGTTCTGCTGACGTACTCTGAAACAGGCACAAAGAAAGGAGGGGTAGGGTTAGAAAAAAGGACTGGGTAACTAACAAATGATGCTAGGGTGTATATAAATACTAGACAGTAGTTGAATGAATTGAAAGTGCTTTATTGAATTTATGTATAGTATTTGTAACTGATTTGAAGACGTTGAAGATTGCTAAGATGACATACATGTTCTTGCAAAACTTTGGTTTTAAATATAATAAACAGTGTAAACACCAAAAAGCAGTTACTCAAGCAACTGGATATGATTTTGAAATCGCTTTGTGAAAGTGAAATTGCTTGAGGGGGCACACCCCAGTTTATTTTGGGTCTCAATTCGATTCTGCATACCCTCAACTCTAGCGACCGTCTCTTTCAGGAAAAACCTCTTAAGCCAAAACACTCTGTTTGCAAATGAAGGATATCCCTCTAGCTACGAGAACAAAAGAATTTCAATTTCTTTCACCTCTCACATTTTAGCAAATTTTAGGGGGAAAAAGAGATTATCACAATAGCCCGTCGCGCGAGGCATAGCTACAGCACCCCCAGAACGCATACAAGGCAAAACTAGGTCAAACCGAAGCACCGCGCTCAGGGCGGAAGGACACCCGGAGTAAATCTCGGGCCCGAAATCAATTTTCACCCAAACACGCCACTTCTTACACTTTTCAGCCATGTTAGTAGCTAATCCCATTTTGCAGCAGATTATGAGAAATGTAAACTCAAACATGAACCATCGGAACCCCTTCGTCACTTTTTTTCCGGGCACTATAGTGGACCCCTGTCGCGGAAGAACTGGTGTGTGCACCGTTGAGTAAATCGCTTTTTGGCGTATCGTATTACCTGGATGTCTAACCTTCATTGACGCACAGTGTAAACTGTACATAATATACACACCAATAAGGTTTGGTAGAAATACAGGTCACAAAGAATAAACTATGAAAGAAATAGTATTTGTTCTGTCCTTTTATTATGACAATACGTATACTATACTTTGTGGAAAAGTCACTATACTTTCCTGCAAACAAACAATATACACACTATCACCCTAAAAAGAAGTATGAGCTGAATTCTGACAGAAAAATGTTTCTGTGACATAACTCAACTTTGAAGCATACAGAATATTCACACTTGTCCCTGGTACTTTTCATAAACATGGAGATGAACTATTTGCATGTTGACTGGACAGCACATACTTCTCAAGCTTACTAGTTTAATTACATGTCATCATAAAATATTTACAATTCATCTCCTTCCTCTGTCTTATCATCATCATCTGGTCGTGAGAGTTAACTCTGTCTTAACTCAACCTTGAGTGGATGTGATCACGTCTTCTTGAAGACGAGAATGGCAATCATGGCACCAACTTCCACCACCAGGGGAAAGGCACTGAAACAAGAGAAATCATGTCACATGTATAGTGTAACCAGGGTGGCAGTGGGTGCCATCCCACATTTCATCTACCAGGGCTCCCATACTCACTTCCTCACAAAATGAAGGAGTGAATATGGGAGCCGCAGTAATGTTTACGTCACAATTACACCTGTGTCTGAACATGTTCAGGGTGTAGCCCCTTTTGAAAATAAACTTTACAAATAATTTTACCTGAGAAGGAAAATAAAAAAAACTGAGCCCCTCATTACAGGAAGTGAACAAATAGTCAGAGAGTCTTCCTCACAACAATTTGTTTTCATCTTTCTCTCTTGCCAATCTTTGCTAGAAAATAATATCCAAGCAGATATTTTGGTGGGGGTAAGACAGTATCAAATTGGCCAGTCTGATACTGTCTTACCCCCACCAAAAGATGACTGCTTGGATATTAGCTAGAAAATGTATGACAAGAAAATGTCCCTAGAAACTGGCATGTCCCTAGAAGCCCAGATCTTACCTGCAGAACCCGAAGACCCACCAGTACAGGTCACACTCCCACTGCTCAAACACAAAGTACGACAGGCTGACGGCAGCGCTCGCATGGGCCGCGGTCGCTACAGCACACAGCGTCAAGGACAACTCAAGTAAACTTATAGAGGTTCTCAAGATTAGGACTAAGAAAGTCCTGTGCATGAGAGGTACTGTCAATCAGTCCAAGGTCCTTGGTCTGTCTCTCAAGACATGAGAGAACCGTCACCTTTGCAGAACACTTATGACTTATATGAGCCTACTAAAATTTCATGTAAAGCAGGGGTACTGGTAAAACCCAGTGTGAGTCAATCAAACTTTACTGGTCTTATGCAGTACAAAACTGCTTGATCTACCAAAAGGCAGTTTACAGGTTATAAATATTATATGACACATACATAAAAACAAACAATCTGAATTGGTCAACAACTTGGCACTTTCAACATAACACACGACGAGTGGCATCTGGTTATATTACACCAAACAACTTAATGTATTATATACAACTCTAACTACTAATACAAAGAAAACACATTGAGGTAAGGATACCTAAAACCTGCCCAAAAAAGGACCAGAGGCAGCCATGATTACAAATATTCCAGTTACTCGCAGCACGTAAAGACTGTTTTAAGTTTTCTTTTTTCCTCGCACGGTAAGCGAGTGGAAACCAGCTGCCGGGCCCAGTGGTGAGGGCACCGACAGCAGAGGCTTTTAAGGC